ATAATATTTAATTAATTTCTATCTTCTTATAAAAATTATTACAGATAAGGCAAACTTCCCCTTGGACTGTTCTCCAGATCCCAGCTCCCTTTTCCTCCTGCACCCACTGCTTCCTCACTCCCCACCCTCCAACAGAGGAACCATTATGACAAGTTTTGGTGAAACACCCTCCAGGCTTGTTCTATGTATTTATGTATATAGAAAGCTACCAAGGAAACAATAGTGTTGGGAGGGGGGATTAGGTGTTTTTTTCATCTGTCATTGGGGTGGTGGTCTGTCCACATACATCACGCTATATGATGGGTAGGTACCAAGCAGTGAAGCTGCTGGGACACAGTGAAAGTGCAATACATCTGCCTGCTATCACCAAATGGCCCATACTATCTATAAACTATTTTCTTCTAGAGAAGCTGCAGAATTTAAAATGGTAGAATAATATGATCATGTTGGTATGAAGGAGAAAGAAGGGACAGAAGAGAAGGGAGAACTGCAAGGAAGCCCCTGTACTAATCAGAAGTGATGAACGATCAACTAGGAATTGAGCTAAGTCCACGTGGCAGGAATCGACATTCATGCAGTCAAATGATGAGAATTTAAAACCACCTATTAGATTTGATGATCAAGAGGTCATTAGTGACTTTGGCAAAAGCAGTGTAGCAGGTTTGTAATGAGCAGGTATGGTGTTTAGGCAATTAAGGCCTTCAGTACAGCTATTTTGTTTAGATGTTGAAACTGGGTAAACTTTAAAATGTTTTATTTAGTGTGGTTAAAATCTTATTTTTACAATGAAAAGAATCTGCATCTAGACTGTGCTTCAGATGCTATTCTCTCTATCACTATCAATCTCAAACCACTTAGCTAGTACTTTTCACTGTGACTTCCATCACAGGCATGAGATGGAAATGCCAGACGGGCAATTATGAATTGGTTTGATTCTTCTGACATGCACAATTACCTTCTTACCTCTCCAGATCTACTAGTCTCTATCCTGACAACTGCTGGCACACTTCTCAGATAGGCTTCTAGTGTAGGGTAACCTAGCTGTTTGAAGGGGATCCAGTCTCCAGTCAAGGATCTGTACTCTCCTTGGAGCCGGGGTAATGCTATTCCATTCTTATGAGACTGCAGAACAGCTCGTAGCATCTTTGAAACCAGATCTGCTTCCAGCATCTTTCCCTATAAGAACACAGTAGAAGGTTACTATAATATGGCTCATTAGTCTGTGAATTCAAATAGATTTTTAGAGCTGAGACTTGTTAGACTATTTCATAAATTATTACTGAAAACTTCCTGTGCAATTACAATACAGGGAAATAACTGCCATGGTAAAGAAAAGCATAGACTACTATGAGAAAGCAGGAGAAAATCAGAAAGGCATAAAGACCAGCCCAGGGAGGGAAGAGATCAGGGAATGTTTCCCAGATGAGGGGAAACACGGAGTCCTGAAGGGCATGATGGAATCAATCAGACAAGGAGCAAAAGGGTGGGCTGAAGAGCTGGGGAGAGATATCGGCCCAAGGAAGGGAATAGGATGTGCAAGGTCACAGAGGTGAGACAGAAGTACATGGTGTGTTCCAAGGATTCCAGGCAGTTAGGTGGCTGAACGTGATTAAACAAAGACTCCAAGCTGAGGGCTGAGAGAGGGACTGGGAGAGGTGGGAGGGGCAGACCATGAGACTACTATATTATGCTAATACGTATGCATTTCTGCCAAAAATAATGTGGGGCCTTAGGGCCATTTTTAACAGGAGAACAAAATGATCAGCTCTGTATTTTAGGAAGATCACTATTCAGCAGTGGGGAAGATAAATTGGAAGGAAAAGGATTAACACGTTGTAAGAATACTTGAAAATGTGGAGGACCTGAAAATAGGGCCTTAGGAATAAACAAAAAATCAGTTTGAGAAGTAATTAGAAGGTGGAATCTACAGGAACTGGTTAAGTAGTTTGGACGATGAGGAAGACTCCCAAGTTTCTAGCTTAGAAGCATGGTGATAGTAATGACCCACAGTGAGGTGGGGCAGAGGCAGGTTTGCAAGAGAGGAGGACAGCAGATTCACTGTGGACATGTAGAAGTCGGGATGCTTGTAGAACAGCCATGTAGATACATTCACTAGGAAATTAGATTAGAGGTCTAAGCTGGTTATAGATTTGGTGGTCTTTGGAATATATGTGGTATTTGATATCCAGGGAGTCAAAAATAAAGTTAAGGATGAACCTCTGTGGAACGCTGTCATTTAAGAAGAGCCTATAAAAGGCTCAAAAAAGGGGACCAGAGAGATGGAAGAAAAAGCGGCATATAAAACCAGCGGTCCCCAACCTTTTTGGCACCAGGGACCAGTTTCAGGAAAGACAGTTTTTCCATGGTTTAGAGATGATTCAAGCACGTTACATTTATTGTGCAGTCAAACCTCTGTGCTAATGGTAATCTGTATTTGTAGCTACTCCCCAGTGCTAGCAGCACTGCCTCCACCTCAGATCATCAAGCATTAGATTCTCATAAGGAGCACACAACCTAGACCCCTCATATGTGCAGTTTACAGTAGGGTTTGCTGTCCTATGAGAATCTAATGCTGCCGCTGATCTGGCAGATGGCAGAGCTTATGTGGTGATGCCAGCAATGAGGAGCGGCTGTAAATACAGATGAAGTTTTGCTTGCTCACCTCCTGCTGTGCTGCCCAGTTCCTAACAGGTCCGTGGCCCAGGAGGTTGGAGGTCACAGATATAAACAAAGGGAAAGAATCAATAAGGATGGACATTCAATAGTGTTGTTTGCAGGAGATGGATAGAGAGAAGAAATGGAAAGTGAATTTGGGTACCTAGGAAATCAGTGCGGACCTTGGCTAAGGATTTTCATAGGTCAGTAATACACATTTTTCAAGATTAACCACTCATTTTTTTTTGTTTTTGAACTAATGATTACATCTAGTTGTAGTTTTGCAGAGAAAAAACAGAATGAAGATACATTCAGAGAATAACATTCAAGTAGCCTGGCTTACCCTTTTATTAAAGGAAAGAGGAAGGCACACCATGGACAATGTGTTAATTTTCCTCCAACAGTGCTGTCCAATAGAACTTTCTGTGATGATGGAAATGTTTTATATTTGCACTCACTGTTCACATGGTTTTGAGCACTTTGTGGCCAGGATGACTGAGGAACTAAAATTTTAATGTAAATTAAATGTGGCCACTGGCTACCATATTGGACAGCAGAGAATTCTAGACAAACAGGCTTTTTCTTTCTCTAGCTTAGAAAACAGAGAGAAAGAACAGCATACAATTCTACTGATTTCCTCATCTGTCCATTTTAAAAAGGAAACAAAATATCAGCTCATTTGTGGGTGCTCTTAATTATAAATATGGTACTTAAAAAGACAGCAAGGTTTAAATAGCACATGAAAATCTAAGTACAGTCAAGTTCCACATAACAATGTTTTGGTCAATGACAGACTGCATATATGACAGAGGTCCCAGAAGATTGTAATGGAGCTGGAAAATTCCTATAGCCCAGTGATGTCTTGATGATCCTGACCCTGTGTAGGCCTCAGATAATGTGTGTAATTCTCAGTTTTTAACAAAAAAAAGTTAGAAAGTACAGTTGCCTACAGTATTCAGTACAGCAACATGCTGTACAGGTTTGTAGCCTAGAAGCACCAGGCTGTACCATACAGCTTAGGTGTGTAGTAGGCTGTACCATCCTGGTTTGTGTAAGTACACTCTATGATGTTTGCATGACAAAATCGCCTAATGACACATTTCTCAGAATGTATCCCGGTCATTAAGTGGCACGTGACTGTATTCATTATGTACTTTCTACTACTAAACATTAACTCTTTTCAAATTATCACCACAAGGACCAACAACATTTAATTAATACCGTAGTCTATAAAAGACCTATACTAGGTCTATATTCTTATTCTTTCTATAGATGATAGATATATAAATATGTATACTATGCTTATACTATATAATAATAGATACATATGTATATACAGTCATGCATCACTTAATGACAGAGATACATTCTGAGAAACATGTCATAAGGCAATTTAGTCATATGAACATTAGGGAGTAAACTTACACAAACCCAGATGGTAGAGCCTACTACACACCTAAGCTATACGGTATGGCCTATTGCTCCTAGGCAACAAGCCTGTCCAGCATGTTACTGTACTGAATATTATAGGCAACTGTAACACAATGGTAAGTACTAGTGAATCTAAACATATCCAAACATAGAAAAGAAAACATAGAAAAATATGTTATTACAATCTTATGGGATCATCATCATACGTGTGGTTCACTGTTGACTGAAACATTATGTGGCACATGACTATATATTAAAATCTTCATTTAGGTATAAATTACATAAAATAAAATTAACTCATTTTATGTACAGTGTTTCTTGAGTTTTGAAAAATATATACACCCATGTAACTATCACCACAATCAGGATGTAGACATTTCTAACACCCCCCGAAAATTCCCTCATGTGGGGTACATAATACACGTAAAAGTAAAATGTACAACAACAGCACAAAGAATGAGACAGAGAGGAACTGGAATATACTGTTGGAAGGTTCTTACACTATACATGAAGTAGTATAATATTATTTGAAGGTAGACTATGACAAAGATGTATATTTTAAAACCTATGGCAACCACCAAAATGTTTTTAAAACTAACAAGCCAGTAGTAAAGACAAGATGGAATAAAACAACACTCAAACAGTGGACAGAAGTAAAAAAATTACATAGGAAAAAGGCAAAACAACTACAAAGAACAAACAGGAAAAACAGAAAACATCTAGCAAGATGGTAGTTTTAAAGCGAACCACACCAATCATTACATTAAATGTAAATAATTGAAATATCACAATAAAAAGATAGAGATTGACATGGTGGATATAAAAGCAAGGTGTGCCTATGTACTACCTATAAGAAATCCACTTTAAATATAAATATAAATATATGGTTAAAAGTTGACCAGTCTGAGTAAGAGTGCAACCTTGTCTCTATTAAAAACAGAAAAATCAGCTGGGCGCAGTGGCATGCGCCTGTAGTCCCAGCTACTTGGCAGGCTGAGGCAAGAGAATTGCTTGAGCCCAGGAGTTTGAGGTTGCAGTGAGCTATGATGATACCACTGCACTCTAGCCCGGGTGACAGAGCAAGATCCTGTCTCAAAAACAAACAAACAAATAAAATCTATAGGCTAAAAGTAAAAAGGTAGAAAAATATATGCCATGCAAATACTATGACTATATTAATATCAGAACAAGGAATATTACCAGGGATAAGGAGGGATATTACATAATAATTAAGGAGTTAATTCATCAGGAAGATATAGCAATCCTAAGTGTGGCTGCACTAAATACCAGAGTTTCAAAGAACACAAATATGATAGCTGAAAGAATAGATTCACAATTATA